GCTTTGCTTTGGGTTTTCTTGCTGTTTCTGCTTCTGCGGTTTTGATAGGGTTCTGCGTTCTGCGTGATGCGTTATTTGGCTATTAAACCTTTTTTCGTGGTCTCTTTCTGTCCTTTTCTCTTTGGTCCTCTTTACTTTGCTTGCTTTGCTTGGTCGTCTTTTCTGTGTGTGGATGTGCAGTGGCGTGGGGGAGGAGTGGTGGTGGTGGTGGTGATGAGGTTTGAGCGTGCGTGCGTGCGTGCGTGCTTATTTGTGTGTTACGTTGTATACTATGCTGTGTTGTATCAATAGAGTTATTGGTTGATTGATTGATTGATTGATGGAGAGGCGGTATGCCTGTCTGGTATTGTTTGATTGCTTGTGTTTGCTGGGTTTTTGTGTACTGTGTGTGTATGTGCTTGTTGGAATGTGGTGTGGTGAGGGTGTGAGTGGTGGGGTGTGGTGGGGTAGGTTGAGGGTGGGGTAAGTAGGTGAGGATGGATGGGGTTGGCTTGGGGCAAGACTGAAGAATGTGGGTTACCTAGGTGGTATGCTGTTTGCTACTACTGCTGTTGTATAGGCTGGGTTGGTGTTGAGGTACGGGTAGAAGTGTGAGTGAGTGAGTGTTCCTCCTCTTTCTTCTCATATATCTTGCCTGATGACAATCGCTTGCATGCTTACTCGTCGCTTCGATATACTATATGCACGTTGCGGTATAATAACGTCCGTTACCGCGAACCGAGATCTACCGTCTAGCGAGACAGGGGATAATACAAGCAGTCCCTATAGAGTACTCCTTATCTAGCTTATAGCCCGAGTCCTAAGTATGGATGTAAAGGTCTTAGAGTATATACAGACTCTATACATCGTAGCTGAGTCTCTTCTTCTCCTCCGTACAAGTATCACCATCTCGCTTCCCGGTGAATCTCGTTTCATGGTGACGGACGTTACACACTGACTACGCATGCCTTGACATTACGTATCAAATAGCTGGATAGCTAAAACACTTTAAACCAATCGGCCAGCTAGCTAACTAGACAGACAGCCAGCCAGCGCCGCCATATTATACCTATATACCATTAAGACAGCAAGGTAGGGCTCGATAAACGAAACCAAGAAAAAGTAGATACTGTATGTGCGTCTGGAGCATCAATAGCCTCCAGACCACTCGAGAGCCATCTAGATATCAACAACGAAACAGAAACAAACAGGCCAGCCTAGCTGATTCAAGTCCGGGTATACACAGAAATACGTGAAGAACCAACTCCCAAAACCCTCCCTCTCATCCTCACCCCCGAGTCTACCTACTCAAATAGCATAATTCTCCGCATGCAAATAAATCTCATCTCTGCCCTCATCACGCCAAACGTCCTTCTGCAGCCCCGCTACCGCCTCAGCAACATCAATGCGCATGCCCGGCGGCCCACACACAAAGACGGCGGTGCGGCGCCCAAACTCGCGGCTGAACTGCCGCAGCATGTACGCGATCTGCGGGCGGCCGTACTCGGTGCTCCAGCCGTCCTTCTTCTTGACCGCGGCGGGCAGGAACGCGAAGCGCATCAGGTTCTTCTGGAACTCGGTCGGCGTCGACGGGAAGCCGAAGTCGAAGGCCGCTTGCGTGGCCGGCTGCGTCACGGACGTGTCGAGCGCCCCGCTGCCCGCCGCTACCGCTTGCTGGATGTCGATGCTGAGGTTGCGCGTGCGTCGCTTTTCGCCTGCGTGCGTGGGCGTGGGTTGCGCGAGCTGCGTTTCTGAGGATGCGGTTGCGGTCGATGCTGTTGATGTTGGCCGGCTGCTGCTGCTGTTGTGGTTGTTGGCGTTGCCCCGTCCCCCGATCGGCAGCATGTGCGCCTGCGGCAGCGCGCTGATGCCGTCTTCGTTCTCGCGGCGGAGCTCCTTCTCGCGCTCCGGATCGCCCTGCGCCTCGTCATTGATGAGGGCCGAGTGCCGCTTCGTCCACGACAACCCGGACAGCCGCTTATCCGCAATGTCCTGGAAGGCGTCGTTGACGCGGTCGTGGAAGAACATGCTGACGGGCCGCGTCGGCGTCTGCGCGCTGACGATCTGGCCCGTCCGTGGCAGCCGCTTCGCTGCCGTGATGAAGAACTGGAACTGCACCGTGTCCGGCGGCGCAAACTCCCGGCAGATGCGCAGCTCTTCTTTAAACCACTCCATTGTTTCTGGTCGCTTGCATGCCCACACTACTTGCACGCTCTTCGTCACTGCTTTGCCGTCTCGCATCCGTTTTACCAGGTCAAGCAGCTGGCTGACGAGGGCTGTTACGCCGCTACCGCCTGCAATGAGTACGACGTGGTCGAAGGCTTCCAGCCGTCTTTGCATGCCTCCGTAAGGTCCGTCGATGAACGCGCGGTAGGTATGCCACGGCCCATGTTCAATGGCGCTCTTAAGGACCTTTTGAGTGAATCCGCGGAACGGGCGGAACACGAGCACCATATCCCGGTATTCCGGGCCGTATGCGGACGGGAAGTCATCGCTGCACAGCGACGCTATCGTGAAAGGGTGGTTCTCGAAAACGGAGATGCCCGGCATCCGCAGGTACACATACTGGCCGGGTCTCCATTTCGTCTGTGTCGGGATGGTGACTTTGATGGCGTTCTCCGGGAGGATCGTCACTGCCGCCTCGTCTCCAATCAGCCAGGACATGCGCCTGGGATTCGTCCAGTTCAGGTAGAAGAGGCGGATGATGTAGGAAGCTACCCATATCGCCACAGTCGCGTATAGGTAATGCCACGACGTAAGGAAGTTGCGGCAATGCCAAAAGAGCATTGCCAGGTACACAATCGAGACTGGTACGTGAACTGACACAAACAGTTCGTACATCCAACTCCGAATCTGAGGCAGGGAGTGGATACAAAGGAATAACAATGGCACAATGGCGGCAATTCCTGTACATGTTAGCAGTTTACAATGGTATTTCGTCTTTCAACGTACCTGTGCCGTAAGGATAAAAATTATCTCCCCGGAGGAGTACGTAGAAAACCTCCAGTCCCCCATCTTCCCAGATGGGCGTAATACAAAATGGGATCGTATGTATCAGGCTGAGGAATAGCATCAGATAAGCACCCCAACGGTGCAGCACGTTTAGCCGCTCGTGCCCGATCCCCGTCATGAGCGAGATGAGGTTCGCCTTCATACTTAGCGCAATGATCCATGGCATGAGCGACACGGCGAGCATGCCAGAACGTATCGCGAGAGGTGGCGAGCCAAATCGAATACTATCCCAGTATAGCGGTTGCGGGATAAAACAATATAGCGTTACGAAAACCAAGGCGGCCAGAACGACGCATACTATTCCGAGCGACGGAAAGACTATCGGTCTCCAGCCCTTGCGGAGCTCGTACTGAGGCAGAGGATGGTAGAACAGAAAGCGGAACACCGCAATCAGGTTGTTCAATGGCCCAAAAGAGGAAACGGACGATTGAACCGGCGCAGGTTGTGGTAACGGCCCATTGCGTGGGAAAAACTTTTTGGTTGACTTGTCAGTATCCAAAACTGACAACTCATAATCCGTGTTGGGTGATGATGTCTTTGACGATTTCAGTACCTCTTCCTGGTGGAGCGCGGTCCGGATCTTGTCCGTGAAAAAGTGGTAGGCGCGCAAACATGATGACAAGACCAGCAATATGATACAAAAGTAGACCATGCCCAGCGCATATTTCCCACTTTCTTTCCAGGGATCCACCGTGTTTGCTTCTATCAGTCCCGCTGGACTCGTGCTGTTCAAAGGTATGTCGATACGCTTGGTCAAAGCGGACGCCGTATCCGTAAACTCCCGGCCTATGAAAACGGCTGCAGCGTCTACCGCCGCGCTGGTCCTCCTCGCGAGAAATTCCGGGAGGACAGGCATGATTGGTGGCCGCTCTGTGTAGTCGGAGTGGCGTAATTATATCGTGAAATATCGAAGGAAATGTTGGATTACAGCGTGCATGCGGTCGCAAGAGGCCGCAGATTCGAGTCTGACATGGGCGCAAATATGGCAATGGAAGTTCGGAAGGTCGAGCGGTGTGGAACCGTGGCGACGGCTCCAAACGTCGTGAAGCGTGCGGGAGTGGTACAAGTTGGGTGTTTCTTGGGTCCGCTATGCGCGTGGGGCAAAGCGGGCGCTGCGAGGGGTATTAGGTAGAACGAGCGACTGGAAGGTTTCACGCGGCCGCGTAATTGCTGAAGAGGTCACCAGCGCATCGTCGTCTGCGGTGATACAACATATCTCGACAATAGGCGTCCACTGGGCCGTCCCGTTGCATTTAATGGTCCTTGTGGAAAGCGGAGACTGCAAGGGTCCACCTGCCGGGCTCCCCTAGTCATCGCTTCGCCTCGCACATGGCCAGCCCATGCGATTGGCTCGTGATGTGATGAGAACATCTGGAGCACGCCTCGGCCGTGAACTGCGCCGGCAAGCCATCGACGGGAGCCGGCTCTGTGCTTCCCCACTATGGGCCGTAGCACACGTATCGACGCTGGCCGTGCGTTGTTGGGTGGCGATCGTGCCGCCATGCCTCGTAGAAGTATCCTGTCGTGCCCAGAAAGCTCGCTCGCCTTGGTCCTGAGACTTGAGGAAGCACCAACACAACGTCAAGTCGTCGTCTGCTCGCTGGTGTTAGTCACACGCTCATCAGACGAAGTGATGAGAGAAAATCAAAATGACTCGAATTTACAAAGAAGATCCGGTCCGTGAGCCTCCGTGCCAAGAGGCATCGTGTTCAATCAGCGTGCAGACCGTGGCCATGCTTAAGAAGAGCACGCTCTGGAGCCCGGCCGGCGGTGGCCATTTGACATGCAACTGGCGGCGATTGGGCAGTGGGGCACAGGCTGGAAATCCCATCGGGACCTGCATAACCCGCGTGGACTTTGCAAAATTGCAAAGGTGGAGATGTGATGGGGGACAAGGAGGGACGTCTAATGATTTGTTGAAAATAAGCGCCGGATTCCTAAATGTAGTTAGCTGCCGATCCGGCCAAGCTGCAAACCTTCGACGCCCACGCAACCTGCTTCCACGCCACGCTCTCTCTTACGGAGTACAGACTCGCCTCATTCGGCCTCGGCCGAGCATTGACGGAGATGGTTAAGTATTTCGGCCTCTCTCGTCGTCGTCTACTTACCGAAGAGTCAACTTCGCCGGCCAGGCGAGCAGCCGTGAGGCAAAGTCCGAAGCGCCTGGCTGAATAGCCACACTCCAATATTGTCTTTCTACTGGTATTGGCAAAGACTCTTCTTCCGAATCTCCGCAAGCTCCGACAAGAGACTCCACAGAAGAACATGACGTTGTCGATCTGGAGACGTCGTTCGGTCCATGGATTGGCAATACGATACCCCTTTTGCTAGCACTGTCGCTTTCAATGGACCGGCACAGCCCCAGAAGCTGAGGTGGAATCGACAAGCAAAATGTACTTCAGTTATGCGCAAGCTCCTGACTCCATCATGCTCACCGCACGTTCTTGTGTGGCATGATGAAACTCGCGTTCGTTCAGTTCCCTACCGCTGACATTGTCAGGCTGTCAGCCAATAGTTACTATGTTGAGAACCCGGTCTCATACTTTTGGAACCCACCTCTGCACTGCTGAGTCTGTTAGCGCCGCCAACTACGTGTCCCAGCAGCTATTTTGTGTTGCACATCTAGTAATTGTGATCTCGATCCTACACCTAATAAAATCGCTCTCGAGGCTTTAGCATTTTCATTGAAATAGCTGGATTGTTGCGGGTAAGATGCAATATCGGTTGCAATGCTTTGTAAATAAGACTTAGGCTATGCCACAAGGATTAACATCCGTCACCGTGAAGCGAGAGGGTGATACGTGTACGGAGTAGAAGAAGAGACCCGGTTACGGTGTGTAGAGGCCCTATACGGAAGAGAAGAATACTGGTTAGAATACGTAGAGCCTCTATGTACTCTAAGATCTTTTTACCTATACCTAGGACTCGGGATAGAAGCTAGGTAAGGAGTACTCTGTGGGGACTGCTTATATCGTCATCTGTCTCGCTATAGGGTGGATCTCGGTTCGCGGTGACGGACGTTAGTTATGGAAATGATTTTCGACTACTTCTTGATGCTCTTGTGAGTACTAAACAGAGATATATAAGAGTGTTCGTACCCGTCTGACCTATAAAAAGCATGTTATTATCTATCTTGTGAACTATCGTTGTAACAGGTGTATGTGTATACATCGATGATGGAGGATTGCTCTTATATAGTTAAGGCTGTTAAAAAGTTTAAGCTGGTCAGCAAATTCGATCTTTTATCAGTATACCGCTATATTCTGCGTGCCCGTGGGTACACCTCTACTAGTCTAAAAAGGTTAGCTTTGTAACTAGTCAGGATATCGGACTGTGTTGTAGAAAGGCCCGGGATGCTTTTCCCACCTCTTAACTACATGCCGAATAAAATCTAATATACCTATAGATTATTTCTGAGATGGCTATAAACCTAGCGCCTACTATGTTAAGGTGAAAAGATACTGTATCTAGCAAGATATGAAGGCAGGAATATCCACAATTACAAAGGTAGTCATCAGGGTATTAAAATAGAAAATCGAAGGATATAAAAGCACTCACGAAGATATAAAGATGTAAAATATTTAAGGGTATAAAGTAAATCATATATTCTTACAGTAGTATTATCCTGTGGGATGTTCAAATCACCCGGGGCCTTATAAAACAATCGCTTCATATGGTTATGACCTATGTGTTTTGGAAATTAGTGTCAGACCAATGATACGATGGGATAAGCTTGTCTTACTTCGACGTGATGCCAGCGTAGTTACTGGGAAATATGAAAGATGGAAGGACAAGATGTAACCAAGACAACGTTGCAAAAACTAGCGTAGATCTTGGATGTGAAGATTCGCAGAAGTAGAACTGAATCGAAATTCAATCAAGAGATTGAATATTTTTATGAATATTTCCACGACCTCCTGTCTACACCCAGAGCCCAGGCTTGCAGCTAGATGAGAAGCTATCTCAAAACGCGTTGGTGTCTTGGTGAAGGTGGCTCAGACATGCTTGTGGCGTTGTCGAAATCAAGCTCGGGGCAACTCAATAAACTTTCATTCCTCAGGAGTAATCAAGTTTGCTGAGAGAAGTTTAAAGATTGTGGGGATATCAAAGTGCCGAATCATTGGCCCGTTTGGATTTGCATCATCGTCCGAGGTGTATGGGCTGAACCCGGAATAAGTTTTGTGACACCTCAGCCTCGACAAACCTCTCTAGGCATCAGCTGCATCGCTTTCGCTCGGATTTGGTGTTAACGACATCAACTAGATCCACCACGCGGAAGGATTTTCTGTGGGGGTTTCACGGTTTCGGTGGAGGTTTGGAGCCCCACAATGAGTTAGGCGCCATCTCCAGACTCCAGTTGCTTGATCTTGCGTTCTCCCCGGCCCAGCCTGCCGGTGGCAGGTAGGTGGTGGCTGAGAGTCTAAAAGGAGGCTCTTCCAGAGTGACGGAACCGTTGTGCGCTTGAGAAACAGGAAAGTTGCGTCGTGGCGCAAGACATGACGTACGCGACAGAGCGGCCATCATCGGCGATTTTGTCGGCTGGTGTGTAGTAGTTTGTCTAGAGTACTTGAGCTTGAGGATAGGGGGGTCAGCCGATGAAATTTGTTCACTATGGATTGTCGTCATGTTCGAGTGGCTGGCGGGCGTGGCGGGAGGCTCACAACCAAAGAACGCATCTGGCGTAGTCGATTCGGCCACGTACGAGTAGGGTTAACAGAGTGGTCAGGGATCGATCTCCGCCCTTCCCGTTCCCGAATCGGGGTTTCTTCGCGCGCGTGCCATAGGGTCTAGAGTGGAGTGTTTCTGGGCACTGGCAGTCCCTGACCTTTTCAGCCGACCCTTGGCGCCCGCCACCAGCTGCGCATCCGTGCCTTCTTCCGTCACCTTATACAACCAACTCTTTGCCTCCGCGCTTCTGTTTTCCCTTGCCTTTTTACCGCTTCTCGCCGCTGTGAATATCCCACTGCATGTCCACCATACCAGCATCTTCCGCCCACTGAGGCACCTTTGTCTATACGAGGACCGAGCGCCCGCATACCAATACGAACAAAGAAATCCCCGCACTTTCAGAATAGACAGACAGACATAGGATTCTTCTTCCTTAGACATCCACTCGTTCACCCCGGCCGTCGCGTCGCTGTCCGATTCCGCTCGTTCTCACGCGTCCTCTCTCGCGTCACCCCATCAGCTCTGCCCTGTCTTCCCTCAACTGCCACCTTGATGAGAACACCTTGACGCCTCCTCCCAATCATTTACCATGGTGCAGAATACACTGCGGTCGGCCCTCATGTGGCTCTTTGCTTTCATGGCCCTTTTCCGCCTATCATACGCGCAGACTACCGTCAACGGAGTGAGATACGTCAAGGGCACCGATTCCGACGGCAAGTCAATCCTGTTGCGAGACAACCGCAAGCCATCGCTATACACTGGCAACTTTGGCGACTGCATGGGCGACAGCAGCATCAACGTCACTCGTTTCGACGCGGCATACTACAAGGACAACATGACGGTGCAATTCCACTTAGCCGGGAACACAGCTGTGGTTAATGAAGACCTTATGAGTGAGTGGCGCCGCGCGTCGTGTTTTGTACAGGTCCCTGATTGTTGGCAGTGTACATCGCCGTTTATGCTTATGGCGAGAGCCAGTTTCAACTGGTTTTCAATCCCTGCAGCGCCAACATAGCAAGGTAGAACTATTCCCAATGCCGGCACCACTAGATGCTAACGAGCCTTAGTCTTTGCCCTATGAAAGCCGGGGTCCCCATAGAAGCAAATGGCATTATCCCAATTGCGCCAAGCGACGTCGCAAACATTCCATGTGAGTGCCTCACTGGTGCTAATCAAGGGTTCAGCTCTAATGTACAATAGCTATCGCGCTCAGTATTCCGGATTTTGAGGGGCAAGCTATCCTCAGAATATTCGCAAACTCCACTCGGCAAATGATTGGATGCTACTCAGCCGTGATCACTAATGGAGCTACATTTTCTCACCCGACTGCAGTGGGCATTATCTTCGGAGTATTCACCGTCGTTGCCGTCATTGCTTCTTTTGCTACCGCCATTTATGGAGCAGATCTACCGACCATGCGAACACATTACGCCCACTCGGTATCCATCTTGGTTGTCTTTGCCGTCTTCCAACATATCTTCTTCACCGGCGCTCTGTCGATGAACTGGCCGAGCGTGCTTGTTGCATTTTGGAGCAACTACGCCTGGACTGGCGGCATGATTTATAGTAAGAGTATGCAAAATTCTATTAACAACTTCATTGGATCCAACAAGGGCAACACGAGTGCGGTTGGAGCAGCCAGTGCAGGAGCTGACGATAAGAACGTCGGCGGCGGGTACGACATCTCAAAAATCTACCGGAGGTCCATGCCCAACTCCTGGGAGCCAGATTTGCGGACTTTGCGTTCGCGCGCCTTGGAATCGGTCATCGCTAAGCGCGAACTCACCAACAGCTCCGATGGCTTTTCCTGGTATGGAGAACCAGTCAAGCCTGGCTTACCTTTGCCAGGAAACTACTCCGGATTTGCTGGTACCCTGGGTCAAGAAAACATCCCAGTCTCCAACGCCTTTATGACTGGCTTCCTCTGGTTTTTGATACTTTTGGTAATTATAGCTGGCGCCGTTGTGATATTCAAGTGGACTCTGGAAGGCATGAGCCGCACCAAACTCATCAAGCAAGATCGACTTGCTTACTTCAGAGCGCATTGGCTTGGATACACGGGGCTGGCCATCCTCCGGACGCTTTTCATTGGCTTTTTCAGTATGATTTTCCTCTCAATGTTCCAATTCACCTGGGACGGCGCAAAGGGCGTGCTGGCCATCGCCGCGATCGTGTTCATCATATTCTTTTGCGGGATGTTTGGAGTGGCTGGCTACGCCTGTTACTACCGCCTGAGATTTGGTAACCACGTTTCGGAGCCGGACCGTATCAATCTCGAAAGGAGTAGAGTTCTCGGATGCATACCTTGGTATCATTTCTCTCGCGCAAGCAACAACCAGGACGACACGGAAAAGGTCTATGCCGGATCAATTCCTTTCTGGCGCATCAGCCATGTGGACTCTGAGAACCGAAAGACTATCCATGAAGACGAGGACTACATCAAGAAGTTCGGCTGGCTGGCGTCGCGCTTCCGGCGCACGCGGTGGTGGTTCTTTGCGCTGTGGCTCGTCTATGAGTTCGTCCGGGCCTGTTTCTACGCCGGCGCTTCTGGTCACCCCAAGACGCAGGTTTTCGGCCTGCTCGTGGTCGAGATCATTGCCTTCATCGCGATCATTGTGATCCGCCCATTCGAGGCTCAGCGGCTGAACGCGCTGGTGGTGTACTTGCTTGGTTTCAGCAAAGTCTCCACGGTCGCCTTGTCCGCGGCATTCGATGTCCGCTTTAACACCGGTCGCATCATCACTGCCGCCATTGGCATTGTTGTGGTGGTCATTCAGGGCATTCTGACCATCTTCCTGCTCATTGCCATCGCCGTCGGCGCCGTGTCAAGTTACATGTCCATAATGCGGCATCGCGAAGACTTCCGGCCGCGCCGCTGGGCCGACTGGCGCGAACGGTACTACAGGCACATGGAGCGCACGGAGAAGGACGTGCCGCGGGAGCCCAAGCCAGCTCCGGAGCCCGTCGAAGAGCCCCAGGAGCCCAGAGAACCGTACTTTGCCGTGTCCACGGTGCGGCGCGTCCCCAAAATCGAGGACGAAGACCAAGTCTTCCTCTCCGACATTGGCGACCCACTCGCGTCCGCAAACTCCCTCTCAGGCAAGGGCAAGGGCCCAGCCGCCGACGGCCAAGCCATAGGAGGCACCCGCGTCCGCTCCACCAGCGTCAACAGCCGCATGTCGTACACGAGCCTGCCGCGGGGCGCCCGCGTCCACCGCGCCAGCTGGAGCTCGCGCGACTTCCGCGACTATGCGGAGGGCAACGACAACCGCCGGCGCACCGTCAGCTCGTCGGCGGGGCTGGTGTCATCGCCCTCGGAGTCGGCGCGCAATAGCGGCATGGACTTTTACACGGCCAGCAATTCGCGGCAGGGCAGCGCGGCGAACTTGCACAGGATGATGGTGGGCGGCCAGGAGACGCCTGGCAGTATCAGCCGCGTGGGCAGCCCGTCGACGTCGTCGAGGCCCGAGAGCCCGCTTGTGGTGAGCCGGGCGGCTAGTCCTCCGGTGGTGGAGGGCGAGTCGTTGTCGTCGCATCCGACCGCTGCAGCCCCTATGGGGAATCTGAACGAGGAGGTTGAGCGCGGGCGCGCGGCGACGGCGCATCAATAAATGGAGAAGAAGAAAAAAAAGAAAAAGACCAAAAATCACGGACATGAACGAGTTCCGACAATGACGAAAGTGACGATGGAAACGACGACGGGACTGATTGACTGGGTGGGATAGGGACCAGCCAGCACAGCACGGTAATAGGCGCGGAGGAGTTTTGTTCTTCTTTTCTTTTCTTCTTCCTTTTTTTCTTTTCTCCAACATTTGCAAGATGTGCGCACAGCTAGCTCTTTTTTGCGCATTGATGAGCGAGCAGCAGCGATGCCAGCCAACAGGGGGTTGGGGAGGGGAGGGGGCAGGATGGGAGAAGGCTAGCATACCCACATACCTAAGGTTTATTGACTTTGGGCTTTGGGGGGCTGGGGTCGCGTTACTTACATATCGCTTGCGTTTGTTGCAGTGGGCATTTTCGAGGAGCGTTGGGGCAGACGGCTGCATTGCTTCACAGCACAGCACAACACAGGCACTTATATAAGCGCAAACATAAATATACTTCACCAAGACCATGGAATGGATGGAATAATGGACTTCCGTCACCGTCAAACAAGGAATTGACTCTCCCACGGCGTAGAAAACGGAAATCTAGTTACGATAATCGAGGTAGCCTGTCTGTGTGCACTCTAAGACCCTTTTCGCTCGTACTCCATGGACTACTTGTATCCTTCCCTGTCGTGTCGCTGGACTGTTCATCTCGCTTGAAGGTGACAACAACCGTAAAACGGAAAGCACACGACATAACTGACAAAAGCTCTTTCTTCTTCCTTCCTTCCTAGGTATACTATACTACACGTAGACAGCCCCGCCTCATCAGCGCCTACTATTCTTAATGGCATCCCTACGGCGCATCTTCTCGACCGTGCGCACCAACGCATTCTTAATATCGCCCTTCTTGAAAGTCTCGAGATCATAATAGTTGGGCGCAATGTCCAGCAGCCATTCTGGCTTCACCGCCGTCACATTGCGGATGTAGTTCTTGGTCGTCAGCACAAACTCGTTGTACACGACCCACTCGCTGTCCTGGCCCAGCACCGTCGACGGGTGCAGCAGCACGTTCTGATCGTCCTTGACCGTCAGGTACATCTTGCCCGTGCCGTCGCGCTTGGCCACCTGCATGAAGAAGCCCGCTACCAGCGCCCGCCGTATGTTCTCGTAGTACTTCTTGTCCTCGAACGGCGTCGACATCAGCTCTAGCTCCTCGCGCTCCATTATGCGCTTGAGCTGCAGGCGCACATTGTCGGCCTGCTGCAATGCCCGGTACGACACAAAGTGGTCGTGGCACCACTGCTTCGGGTTGTCTTGCGCATCGGGCGATTTGAAGGCATGGTAGACGTTGAGCATGGTCAGGTGGTCACCATCCGGGTGTGCAAAGAGATCCTTCATCTCGTCGGCCTGTTTCCTTGCGCTCGCTGGGCGGACGAAGATCTGAGGAACGGAGAGAAGGGCAACGAGAGAAAGGATTTCGTTTGAGCAGTAAAACTCGGGAGACGAGATGAGCATGACGGCCAGCGCCGGGTCGAGAGGGAAATCGGAGGCCAGCTTGCCGAGAGCGGTAAGCTCACCCTCGTCGTCTAAGCAGGCAAGGTAGTTCAACTCCTCCAGAGCACGCATGAGCGTCTCAGGCGCGGGAGGGTCCATGAGATCGAAGTGTACGAGATCCTCGACACCAAGCTTCTTCAACTCAAGCACCGTAGCTGACAAGTTGGAACGAAGAATCTCAGGGTAAGTCTGCTCAATGAGCTCCTTCTTGAAGGCTGACTCAGTGTACAAACGGAAGCACTTTCCGGGCCTGGTACGACCGGCACGACCAGCGCGCTGCTGAGCAGAGGCCTTGGAAATGGGAGAAACGAGCAGGGACTCGACACGGATTCTGGGGTTGTAGACCTTTTGTTTGCTGAAGCCGGGGTCAACGACGTAGACGATACCGTCAATGGTAAGAGAAGTTTCGGCAATGTTGGTGGAAACAATGACCTTGCGTCCCGGGCGACCGCCGGGGCGAAGCGGAGGAGGCGCCTGCTCAAAGATCTTCTGCTGCTGGTGAGGAGGCAGGGTACCGTACAGCGGGTAAACCCTCAAAGGACCCGCATCGGCTTCGCGCATCAGCTCGTCGGCCTCGAGTTTGATCTTCCTGCACGCGTCCTCGATTTCCTCTTCACCCGTCAAGAACAGCAAGATATCTCCCTCGGGTTCGCTGGCGTGAATTTGCAGGACTGTACGGAGAGCAGCCTCGACGTAATCCCGTTCCGGCTCGGGGGTGTAGAAGATCTCGACGGGGTGGGTACGACCAGGGACGGCCAACAGAGGAGCCTCGTTGAAGTACTTTTGGAACTTTGCCGCATCCAGAGTGGCAGACATGATGACGATCTTGAGGTCGGGTCTGCGCAGAGCCACCTCCTTCAACAAGCCCATCAGAATATCCGTAGCCAAGGTACGCTCGTGAGCCTCGTCCAGAATGATGGTGCTGTAGCGACTAAGGTTGTGGTCGTTCATGGCCTCGCGCAGAAGCATACCGTCGGTCATGTACTTGAGAATGGTCTGGGGCGACGTCTTGTCCTCAAAACGGATGCTATAACCGACCTCCGCTCCCAGGTTGACATCCATCTCGTCAGCGACACGAGCAGCAACGGACATGGCGGCGACACGACGAGGCTGGGTACAAGCGACCATCTTTCCCGCGCTCTGGGGTAAGTCATCGAAGAGGACGAATTGGGGAATCTGCGTCGTTTTACCGGAACCCGTCTCACCGACGAAGACGAGGATTTGCGTCTGCTGGAACAACTGAAGGAATTCGTCTCTGCGATCAATTAGTACCTATTTCACGGGCTGGAGTCCAGGCGCGCGTGCTCACCTCTGGGCGTGGACGGGCAGGTCGCGCCTCGTCTTCAGAATGTTGAAGTACTTCTGCGACAACGGGGCGCCGGTGAAAGGGTTGTTGGGGCCATCCTCAGCCTTCGCGGCATCCTTTGCGGTCGACTTGTGGCGAGTGATGTGCGACAGGCCGCTGTTCTTGGAGGCGTAACCGTTGGAGCCCTCGTCGGCGTACATGTGGGCGAGGTAAGGGTTGTTCTTGGGGTCCATGTCTGCCGCGGAGGTTTTTTGGCGCTTGGCGCGTGAGTCGCCACTGTCAGGCCTGCGTTCAGCCATCGTAGGAAGGGAGGATGTGGTGATGCGGTCGAGAGGGCGGCAGGCAGATGAAATCGCCGACACTTTTCTGCCAACCTAGTCCCACCGCCTAGCGTTCGGCGGGTTCATTTGCCGACACGGCTAACCCAATTGGGAAATGCTACTAGGTACCTATGCACCTATGGTAAACTCTTACTTTATTACCTCTATCTGTTCCTCCTTCTCTCTCCATCACGTCTTCTGCTCAGAACGCACACACGCGGTGGATATGGCGGCGACAGTGGCGGCTCCTCCAAGAGAGTGAGGAGATAGGCGAAAGCCATCTCCCCCCGGCTGCGGCTAATATGCCGTAGTCACGATACCTGGATATGAGTGCGCTCAGAGTGCGGTTTGTATCCCTTCGCATGTCGCCGGCCACTGTCTTACAGGCTGCCAAGACGGCTTTCCTAGTTATATAAAGTCTTTCACCGGGAACCGAGATCCACAGCTTAGCAAGACAGGAGACGATATAAACAGTCCCTACAGAGTACACCTTGCCTAGATCCTAGCCCGAGTCCGAGGTATGGATGCAATGGTTCTGCTCCATGCAAGTATCGCAAGTAAGTATAGGCTCTAACGGCGCTAGCAGGGGAGGGGGGTCGCGAATTCAAAACCCGTAATGGAATATGTTGATTTCATTTTCCTTTCGTTTGTCTTTCTTGTTTGTACTTGTTTATCTTTCTTGTCTGTTCTGTTTCTACTTGCCTATATTTCTTGTCTATATTTCCTTTCGTAGTAATCTGTGTTTCTTGTATTTGTTGTCTGTATTCTTGTTCATATTTTTTGTATTTCTTGTTTGTACTTGTCTATATTTCTTCTCAAAACGACCATTGTTTGGTGGTTACTTCAAGCGGTGGGTAGGGAATTTGGTATCACGCCCCCTATCACTCCCAGACCGACTTCGATTTTTATCTTGTCGACAACAACTCTGGTCGCCAAGAGTTTCAATCATCGGACGCATCACCAAAGCACCAGCTACTCCGAATCACTTCTGACTTCAACAACCAGTTTCCAATCCTCGGCGCGCATCATCAAAGCATTACCTAGTTCCACACATCTACGCATTTTGCTCTCAACTACGACCAAGTCACTTCTGACTTTGACTATTATCTTCACTCGAAACCACAACCAATACACCAAGAACAAGAAACCTCTACGTTAGATACCCGTCCCACTCATCATTATACGCAACACACTTTTGGCTTTAGTTATCCGCCTTGCTTCCAATCACAACAAAACATGTCGCCGGGCCAATCCAGCACCTTACTGTAAGTCCTGTCAATGTAACCTCTTAACTACAGCCTTAATATTACTTACTTCAAATACTAGTTTCGCTAGTATCTACAATAAGGATATTTCCGGGCCTAACCAGCACCTCACTGCTACCTCCAGTTAGCCGTTTGTAGCAGACCTACGACTCACAAACTTTTGATGCTGGCTTCGGCCGGACGTATTTCAATTTTGCAGTCAAACCTGCTCGGTAATCCGCCACTGGCAGTGTCAAAGCTAGCCGTCACTCACCACCATAGCTCTACCTGTCGAAGGTGCTTTGCGCATCATGCAGAAAGCATCACTATACTAATAGGTAAACCGCTACTGAAATGAAGAGTAGCGTTTTAACTAGTCGTAATTTGGGACGAGAATGCTTGGTTGCTCTGGTGCTTAGAGACAGATAACCCGTGGGATGAATCTTCATGTATGCTGCCGTCCTTAAGTGGATACTTGGTGGAAATTTTTGCTATTGTAATTAGCAAATTTCTGTTGAATTCGCTCTGGTTCATCGAGACGCTCTTGATTGGAGTCGTAAGGAATTTGGATGTTATCTCTAAGACTTCTTCGTTGCACAAGAGGCTGATACCGGAGAGGTGTCGGTTGTTTGAGCCGAACGGTTGGTGGTCAGAAGTGTAGTGCGAAAGAGTCCTGTTTTTGACAGAAGGGTGGGCATACCAAGGCCGAGTAGTGACCTTGTTGAGGAAATGAGTACACTAAAGTCGAATAGTATGTTCGATGGAGATATTGAGAGCCTGAACCGACTTTTTGAAGCGTTCGACGGTGTTGTCCTGTGAGTTTGTGGTAAGGACGGAGGACCAGAACCTACAGAGTAATCGTGAGGCAGCCTGTAGAGTCGTCCGAGGCTTTTGGAAGATTGCTATCTTGAGCCTTTCTCTCTGTCTCTCAAAGGTTGTTGCAGCCAAGTTTTTTCCTAAGTCTCCCTCTTTTCACCGATGGTTGCTGAGCCTTCTTCGTCTCTTGACATACTGTGCCGAGTTCTATTTGCCAAGTTCCCATCCACCAATTCCCCAACCGCAAAGTTTTCTTCGCCGAGCCTCTTCTTTTTTTTTATTTTTATTTTTTATGCAGACGACACGGGCGTCATCATATCGTGGCTACGGCATGGTACAGCTAGGGAAGATCTATATCCTCCTAAGGGATTACGGCGCTCTCTTAGGGGGACCACCATCGCCGCCGTGCTTTCTCTTACCTTTATGGCGGCCGTTTTGTCCTATGCCAGGCAGTCGTGGCAGTGTGGCAGTCTAGAACTTTCAGGCCGCGGAGCGCAAGCGCAAGGCGCGCATCAAAGCGTTGAATTTCCGGGCCGTTTGCGTGGCACACACTTTACAAGAAGCCATGGCCCCATGACGGCATAACAGGCATCGGAGCGCCGCATCCGCTGCAGATTGATGATTATTGCGCAAGCAACGGAAGGGAAAAAAGAAGGGGAAAGAAAAAGGAGATCTTCGGCTTCGCGGGCACGGCGGGTCATCTTTGACGCAAATGCGCAGTGCGAGCAGGGTTATGGTGGCGTTAGTCAGCGGGTAGCGGATCAAATGATGTTATGGCCAGCGATGTGCGACAGGGATTAGAGGCGTGTGAGACGTCATTCTGGTGTATGCCGTGCACTGCAATCTTGTCCTACTCCTGCTGTTACAGGAGGGAGATGTGGCGTAGGTAGGTATGCAGATACGAGAGGTGAGTGGTGTACAGCACCAGCGATCCGACTCAAAATTGGCTTTGGCGTTATAACGCGAGAAATGTTGTAAGCAATTAAAGGCTCTGAGTATGCGAAAGGCTATGCAAACCTTGGCCGGATATACCGATAAACGCCCTTTCTTTTAACGGTCGCAAGCTACCTACCGATGAGCCAAACCGTTGTATGCAGATATTCGATATTGGATACATGATGCAAGCAGCTGGAGATAGAGTCACCGCCACACCTGACGACATTGGGCGCGGAGCGTTGGAGCGGTTGGCCCAGTAAACAAGCTCAACCAACACGCGCGGTCCCGAAGGCGAGCAGCAGCATCTGCTTTGGGCATTTTTGGCGCCGCTCGACACCGCGTTGGGCAAGGGAGCCGTGTCCAGGCGCGGCGCTAGCGGGGGGTCTGGTTATGCCAAGTTTTGGATCAGGAATCAGGATTCCTTGTGATTTGTTGTCGTAAAATTGTGGCTAGTGATTTCACTGTACTTGGGCGAGGGAGGGAGGAAAAGTGGTAATCCGTACTACGTCATGCGTTAAAGAGCAAAGCAGGGCTGCGAGAGGACATAATATAAACCTAGCTTCCTGCCTGCTTTGTTCCAACATTCCAGCACTTGATACCCCAACAACAACCACATCCACTACAACTCATCCATCCAGCACCACTTCTCTCGCTGGCAAGAACAATACCCACCACTCAACAACAACTCCAAAGAAACTCATCACAATGGGCGCCGTAGTGTCCTGCGTACGTCCCCCACCCCCACTCTTCTTCTAGCCTTCGCGCTAACCCCCACACCAGATCAAGTCCGTCTTCCAAGCGATCGGCGCGGCTCTCATGGCCGTCGTCAACGGCATCGCTGGCATCCTGAAGGCCATCCTGAACGGCATCGTCGCCGTCTTCGACATCATTGTCGGCTGCCTGACCTGCAACCGCGCCGGCAGCCGTCGTCGCAGAGTCACTAGTCATGTATAATCATGAGGTGCGGGGAAACGGGGGGCTGACTGCGCTGCCACTGCCTTCGAACATGCACTCCGATTCCTTCGCCAACCGGTCGCCATTTTTGTTCGTGGAAGACTACCTTGTCCTCCTTGGACACGGCACATGACGCCCGCCTCGCACCTCTAAGCTTTGCGACTCGACGACCTCGATCGAGTTACTCTACATCGGTCTTTCGACCACCTTCTCAAAACCCACCCTTTTTCACCAACCAACCCACCGACATGTATGACTTATAGTCAATTCTCTTAGCGACAACGATACGATACCAACGTCACTCGGATGAAGGAGGAAGAGAAACGGATGGATGATGAGACGATGGACGGAAGAAAGGCCTCTTTTCTGATACCCTCAATACCCCCTTTTCTTTTCTTTCGTCGTCGTGCGAATCGGCATCAAGCATGGTCTTGTACGTGCGGCTTTTTGTTTGTTTAGTTGAGCGGTTTGCTGCTTTTTGCGAGCTTCGTAGCATCATACCTACGCTAGAGCTGCTTTAATGGTTACGAGTGTTTATGACTTATTCTGGTCGAATTGGGTGATGTGATAGTGATGTTCTTGACGTGAGTTTGCTACATGCTCATATAAATGGGTTAACTTTTGAATTAAAGGTGGTTGACATGCTCTCAGCACTACTCACCGTATGGATATAAACAACATTATCTTCCCCTCCGCGTAGTATACATGCTCTTCCCGAGCAACGTCTCCAGGTTTTCTCCCGGCGCGTCTCTATGAAGTAGACCACTCATCTCATGCCATTTTGCATGCCACAGCACAAGCAGCCTCCCCATCTCTACCGCCTCACCACCGCCTTAGCCTTGACGCACACCTTCCCGCCCACCGTCTCCAGCGTCCCCGTCATCTCCTCCTCCTCAGCCGCAAGCGCACCAGCCCCCCGCTTCTGCTTCTTCGTCATGTCCTTCTGCGGCGGCAGCCCCGTGCCCGGCTCCAACTGCGGCGCGGGCGCCGTGCGCAAGACGTAGAAATTGGACGAGAGGGTCGGGGCCAGGTACGTCAGGGTCAGGTTGATCGTGTCAATGGGGTTTTCTGCACACGTACACACAGCAGTCATTAGCACACACGCGCGACCCAAAGAAGAAGGGAGATAGGTATAACGTACCACCAGCCTTGCCGCCGCCGCCGTGCTCACCAACAGCGTCCTTAAACCCCTCGACGAACATCGTAGCAATAAACCCGCCATGCGCCACCCCCGGCCACCCGGTCACGCCCCCACCCAGCCAAAACACCAGCACCGCCTCCCCCGAACGGGGGTTCCACCACCGTCGCCACGGCCCCAGCCCGCGCATCCCAGCCAACGTGCCGTGCACATAGCCCTCTGCTCCCTTGGCCCCTTCAGCACCAGCACCAGCACCGCTACTACTGCTGGAGCCAACCTCGCGCCACACACCCTCGCCCTCGCTGCCCTCCTCGTCGTCGCTGCCACCCCGCGCAAGCCGCCGCACCACCGGCAGCGCGTCCAGGTCCCGCTCCAGCGACGCCCGCAGCGCGGCGTCCATGTCTGAGCCCGTGGGCGGGAGGGGCGGCGGCGCCAGCGTCACGCGCACGAGGTGCCCGGCTGCGAGGCCGAGGGCGAGGAACACCGTCGCGGTTATGTAGGGTCGGAGGGAGCGGCGGGCGCGGGGGGGCGGCGGTGCTGCTGCTGCGGGCGTGCTTGCTGTTGCTGTTGTTGGGGAGGCGTGACGCTGGGGGTGGTAATGGTGGTGGGGGAGGCGGTGGAGGGGTCGGGTAAGGGGCGCGGGCGCGGGGCGCGCGAGGCGATGGAGGGGCGGGAGCGGTGGCATTGTTGTTGGTTGCTTGGCTGGCTGGTTGGTTTACGTGGGGATTGGAGGGAAGAGATTCTGGGTTGAGCGCGTCGGCGTCGGCGCGTTTGTGGGTTTGCGCGTAAGGCTGAGTGCTGCGTGTTCCAGCCAGTGTGGGGACGGGTGCGGTGCGTGCGCCTGACGCACTTCAGCTTCTCATCCCTGGTCAGTGGGCAATGGTCACTGGTCACTGTCAACCGGGCTCCGACAGGAGAGAGTCAACCACGGAATCGATTATACAGTACATGCAGCAGCGCGCGAAATTCATACAAAACGCATCCCTCGTCTTCCACGATACCCACACCCACAACCCAACCAGCACCCTCCAAAGAGACTTGCTATCCTCCCCCTCACTTCTTCCCCATAACCTTATCCAACCCACCCACCAACTTATCCGCCATGCCCAACCCCTTGTCATGCCGGCCCGCAACGTCCTCCGGCTTGTCCGTCGACGGCTTGTTCGCCTTGGATAGCTCGAGATCGTTTTCCATCTGGTTCGGGCGCGCCATCTTCGAGCTCTGGCGCGCTTGGCCCGAGGAGCCGCCTTCGAGCGCTGTGGAGTATGTTAGCGCGTATGGGCTTCGGGCTTGGGGTTGGGTGTTGGGTGTGGTGGGCAAAGGAAGGTGGTGGTGTGAAGTAGGGACGCACAGTCGCTGCCCTCGGAGGCGATCTTTTCTGCGTTGCGGAGGGACATGCTTGCTAGGTAGGTAGGTTTCTTCTGGTGCGGATAGGTGGGGCAGAGTATCAGTGTGTAGCTGGACAGAGCTGTTGTGCAACGTGGGTTGTATACGAAGAACGAGTAGATGGACGTCCTTTTAGAAGTAGGAGTACCCCGCATGGGAGCAGATGTACGTTAAGCCTACGTCATAGGACGGCGCCTTCTACCTATCATCGCGGCTTGGAGCTCCAATCACGAGAACCGTTTTCGCCGTGGCGTCTGGGGCCGGCGGCAAGACCATTGGCCGGATTGGGATGATTGGTCGAGACGTTGGACTTCATCTGAGTAGAATGTACAACGTACGCGATAGAACATGAGCTCCTGGGATGCAAAAAGTTGAGGGACGTTCAAGCATCTATTATCAAGCTGTACTGGTGTTAAAGGGCATATCGAAGGGAACTACCGTGGAAGCATGTTACTGCCGGATGCGGGACATCGAACATCGAACCCGCATAGCAACCTCGACCATGCCTATTTTCATCCGCCACTCCAAAGACGCCTCACCCATCATGCCTAACCGTCCGTAGGCTTCCAGCTGTTCTCCTTCTTCCACTTGTTGCCGGTGATCAGGTCCGGCGCCGTACTAGACAGGTAATCCCGACCCTTGATCAGCCAGACCATGAAGCTGGGCAGCTTCCAGCCGAATATGGCGCCCACGCCCTTGCTGCGGCCTACCGGCACCAACTGTGTCTCCTTCAGGTTCGGCTTGTACGGCCGGTCGCCGCCCTTGGGCGTGATTGTCGCGCCGGGCTTCTCCTCGCCTGCATCGGCAAAGGCGAGCAGGTCGCGCTTCATGTTCGTCATCCTAAACAGAAGTGTCAATAGTCTGATAGGGCCATTGGATAGAGCTCGGGGACTTACACGACTGGAACTGCATCGTAGATGTCCATGACACCGCCGCGGGTGTAGGATCCGACATCACCGAGGGCGTAGACACGGGGGCCGGCAACGTCAACCCGCAGTGTAGTGTTGTTCGTTTGGACGTATCCTCTGTCCGTGAGCAGCGACTTGGGCACGTATTCGGTGTTGGGGACCTGGCCAGTGGCCGGGATGTAGACGTCGACTGTGACTTCTTCACCGGTGCTGATGCGGACAGTAGTCGTGCCATCACTGTTGTCGGTAGCCTTCTCCATTCGGACCCCGTACCTGACCTCCACACCAAGGCGAGCCAGGTATCCTTCAGCCTTCTTCCCCAACTCAGGACGCAGCGCCGGAAGAAGATTCTTGTTGTCAGTGACCACGGTGATGTGAGCTTTTGGCTCGACGGGCTTGCTGGCGAACCAGCCGGGTGTGCCGTTCAGGTATTCACCTATCTCGCCAGCAGTCTCAACGCCTGCAGGACCACCACCAGCAATCAAGATGCTCTTGGCTTTGACCAGCCTAGTGTTCATCGAGCTGAGCTCCGCCTTGCTGGCTTCGGAGGTGCTGTGAAGGGTGAAGAGAGGGCTCGGAGTACGCGTGCCAGTTGCAAGAAGCAGCGCATGGTAGCCGAGGACCTTCTCAGGTCCCTCAGCCGAAGCAATGTTCACCGTGCGTGTCTCGTTGTCCCATGCGGTAGCGGTGCCCAGAACCAAGGTGACAAGGTTGCCATACTGCGCCAAGCCCGGAGCGATAGGGTAGAAGGTCTTGGAGTTGGGCATCAGGTCGGTGGAGACAGCAGCACGTGGGCTGGCGACGCGGAAGAAAAAGTCCCTGGACGGGCTGATGAGGTAAACGTGGTATTTCTCGCCATTGGATGTAGGCAAGAATGGCAGGACGTGCTTCAGCGCGTAGTGAGTGGCGCTGATGCCAGCGAAGGAGGCGCCGAGAATGACAATGTTTCGCTCGTTGGAAGACATGGCGATATGATGCAGAGACTGGAGCAAGACAAAGAAAAAAGGCCGAGAGGTTGTTGTTAAAAAGTCCGAGGGAGCACGAGGATGGAATGCCGTGTGACGGAGGCGGAGAGCCGATGGCGTGCGTGCCGATGGCTTTTATCTGGCGCTGGCGGCTGAAGCTGAGAAATCCATCACCAACTCATTGTGAGTCCTCGGTGCTGAAGCATATCCGTCCCCGAAGCAACTTTCACTCTCTCCTTTCAGCTTACAAACGAAGTGAAGTTGGGGGAGCAGGAAGGAGCGCGAAGGTGGTTGTAGCTAGCGCCACGTGGACCAAGCGCTATTCTTCAAGACCTACATCGACCGGACAGAAATCAATCCAAGTCATAATAAAATATGACCGAGGAATATGCAGGAAATAAATTAACTCCACTACAAAACTGTTGTCCTGGGTATACTTGGAGCTGCGGGTGTGCTGCATAGGTCGACCTCTCGGCACCTCTCCCACCCGGCCCGAGCCAAATTTATAAGCAAACGCCCGCTTACCCCACAGCTAGTTACCCGGAGTTAGTGTCACCATAATCATGACTGCTTCCATCGGCATTCTCTCCATCGGGGACATGGGCTTGGGCATTGCGAGGTTGCTCCAGGCCCATTCGTGTCACGTCCTCACCTCGTGCGCCGGCCGCAGCCCAGCCACCCGCAAGCGCGCTGAGTCTGCCTCGATCGATATCTTACCGGACGACATCAGCCTTGTGAACCGTTGCGACTACATCCTCTCCATTGTCCCACCTCGAGATGCCAAGGCAACCGCCGAGCGAATCATAGCTGCATACAGGCAAGGTGCCCGACAGCCTGATGGTAACCCACTGTACTTTTTGGATCTGAACGCCATTTCTCCTACCTCAGTGCGTGCTATTGAGTCACGTATCAATGAAGAAACACCAGCTATTCGTTTTATCGATGGCGGAATTATTGGCTCTCCGCCTAGTCGGATCAGTAAAGGCAATGATCTGAGTTCCTGGAAACGGCCCAGCATTCCCATCTCTGGCCCGCACGCACTTGACATCGCGCCGGTCAGCGGGCAAAATATTGCTTCCGTCCTCAACACCAAGTACTTGGGACCCACTATCGGCACGGCAAGTGGTTTGAAAGCCTCTTTTGCATCCCTTACCAAGGGCTTCACGGCCCTGGCCATTCAGTCCTTCAGTACAGCGGAACAAATGGGCGTTTTACCAGAGTTAAAAGAGCAGTTGCAGGAGTTTTTTCCGGCACTGGGAGAACGGGCCGCTAGCGGATTAGTAGGAATGCCTAAGAAGGCGTATCGTTGGGTTGGCGAGATGAATGAAATTGGAGAGACGTTTCGGGACGACGGAGGTTGGTCTGACGCCAACGTCTTTGACAACATTGCAGAAGTCTATCGCGTCGTATCGGACACCAAGCTAGGTGATCAGTATGCCGAAGGGAAGAAAGACCTTGATGAGGTTGTTGAAGGCCTAGTCGAAGGATTGGATCGGAAGCCATAGCTGATGTCGTAACTTTCATCTACGGTGAAGGTTCGTATGCTTTGAGGGTACTTGGACTATGATGTTTGAAAGCATCTGAAAGTTTAACCAATTCATAGTTATTCGACCCAGCGACAAGTAGACGACAAGAATCAAACAAAAAGTTTAAGGATCGAGATTACGCAGGAGCAAAACACTTTCTTTAAGGACCCAGAGAAGACGAGCACAGCAACGAAAAAGCAAAACAAAGCATTCCGCAAAGCTTATCATGATGTCAAACCAGCAAAGAGACGTTCGCGTCGCCGATTGGTCCCAGGTCACTTTATTCCTCATCGAAACCAATCAAGTTAATACAGCTTGCTTGTCTCAGTCACCACCGATCGAGATTCACCGTCTAGCGAGAAAGGAATGATATAAGCAGTCTCTATAGAGTATTCCTTATCTAGATACATACCTAAATTAGCTATAAGCCTAAAATTTTATGAACCCAGATAATTTGCCCACCTCTTCTAGATATTTTGCCCCTTGAAAAGTAAAAACACTTTATATAATTCTGTAGATGCTATCACGTGGGGTCGGCAAAATATCTAGAGGGGTGGGTAATTTATCCGGTGCCTAACTAGATTTCTTCTTCTACTCGTACAAGTATCATTATCTCATTAAGTGGTGAAGCGTGCTTGATAGTGACGGACGTCACCTTGTTTGTTATTGAAATCAATCAAATTGATACAAACTACTTTCCATCTGCAATGTAGTCGGGTGTGAGGAGGCCGTCGCGCACTGACGCCGCGCCAGCCGCCCTAGCGGACTCGGCAGGTTGACCGTATCTCACGCTCCAACGTCATTGTCACCAGGACCCTAGGTTTCCATTAGTGCCAGCCACACTTTTTTCTTGTCGGTATCAGATCTGCCTCCCGCTGTCATCTCAGCACCCTTCCTCCCCATCCCCTCGGTACCATCATGTCTTGGGTCGCATCCCGAGCCAAATCGTTCTACAATGACAAGCGGCAGCAAGTCGTGCTCTTCTCGAGCACGGCGATAGCGCTGTACGGATATGACCAGGTAAGAATCCTTGTCCTGGCAGCGTTTCCGCATGTTGTTTCATCTAAACCGATTCCAGGGCATGATGTCTCTGATTAACACGAACCACGACTATCTCGCGCGCATGGGCATCAGCGCGGATGATCCAATGGTCGGTATGGTAGTTTCCGTCTATTACCTAGGCTGCGCCGTTGGTGCCGTCGGCTACTCGTGGTTTGCCGACCGTTATGGGCGCAAAAAGTCTATTTTCCTCTGTCTCGCGACTGCGAGTTTGGGCAACTTGATCATGTTTGTCGCGGGCCTGTACTATCATCGGGGCGCGCTCGCCGTTATGTTACTGGGGCGCGTCATCATGGGTCTGGGCGTCGGCGGTATAGACAGTGTCATACCCGTGTACAGTGCTGAATTGTCTGAAGATGATGCCAGAGGTAGAGCTTTGGGACAAGAGTTCCAAATGAATATCTTCGGCCTCAACATGGCCTTTGGTATTAACCTGGGCATCACCGTGGCTCTCGGCAAAGAAAACCAATGGGCATGGAGAGTCCCTATCATTGTCATGCAGGCATATCCCCTGTTGCTGTTGGCCTTTATTGAGAGGTTGCCCGAGAGCCCTAGATGGTTCATTTACCACCAAAGGGATGAAGATGCCAAACTAGCCTGCGAGGATCTCGATCCCGGCAGTGGTGACAAGAAGTTCGAGGAGCTGAGCGAAAGCCACAAGCAAGAGGCGGACAAGCATGTCGGGTACAAAGACATGTTCACCCCTGGCCATCCGCAGTTTCACCCGACCATGGTCACCATCATGTGCCAGGTGAACCAGGTAAGGTCAAGCCGTATATTTTGTTAGACCGCAGCTGATCCATCAAAGGCTTTGACAGGTTACGGCGCTGTGTCGGTATACGGTCCTCAAATATTCGAACTCCTGGGCTTCGGCGTCCGACAGGCCGAATACTTGACGCAAGGGAACTACCTCTCGTACCTGTTCCTCATGACCTTTGCCTGGCTCTTGATCGATGCTGTTGGGCGACGTAAACTAATGATCAGTGGTAGCATTGTGCTTACCAACTGTTTCCTCCTCTTGGCCATTTTAGGTGGCCTTGCCATGAATGTGGATAACTTGGAGCACGTCCATGGCCTTGCCGTTGCCATCCCTGGCATTGTGACCTTGTTTACCGCCACAGGGGCATTCGGAATAGGTTGGCTTGCTACCGTCTGGCTGATACCGACCGAGCTTTACCCTACGACGGCGCGAGCGCAGGGCACTGCCATCAGTGTCGTTATTTGGGGTCTGGCCAACTTCACCGTCACCCTTATGACTCCGATCATGTTTAACAATCTCGAGTATTGGATATTCATCGTCTTCGCTGTGACAAACGCGATGGCAGGTATTTGGACATGGATGTATCTTCCCGAGAGCGGAGGGCGAAGCTTTGAGGAGAACCAGCAGTTCTTCGATGATGCTGCGGATGCTGGAACGTGGAGAGTCAAGAAGGTTGACGGGGGGAGTTACTTGAGAATGCCTTATCCGAACAGCGGAGACCACTCTGGAGAGAGGGAGCCGCTGCTCAGCAGAGTGAGGGATCAACTGCCCTGAGCGACGGTGTAGTACAGTCAGAGGGGGATATTGTTTCCATCCCCCAGTGAGTGGTACTATCTAGAAGCGAAGTAATCCAAGTCGCTTTGGATGGGTGTTAGCGATACTGCGATTGTGCCTGTATACTCTTATAAGCAGACAAGAACGCACCCTATAAACCACTTGTATAGACTTAGAGCCTGCGTCCGTATACGGCAGTCTTGCCTATATGGTCTTATAAGTAGACAAGAGCGCTCATTTAGATCAATTCTTACGTAGACATAGAGCTTGCGTTCGTAGCTAACCATATGCTTAGGAGGATATGTAGATTGTAATAACATCACCCCTGCGATGGAATGGAGGGAGTGTAGAATGTCAATTTATGCGCATGAATTGCCCAGCACGGACCCGGAGAGACGATCGCGGGCGGGGGATCGACACACTTGACAGCACTTTTCAGAAAGCTGCCCCTTACTCTGGGCACCTTCCCCTCCACCCACGTATCACGACTGCAACCGAACTGTGCAATCTCTCGTTATGGACGATTCCTCGCCTGTTGTCGTCGCCCGCGATCTGCGGCTGGAGCAGGCCTTTTACGGCACCATCATCCACTCAGTGTCGCCCACCGAGGTGCGCGTGTTCGAAAAAGGCCTTGTTATGGTAGGACCGGACGGTAAGATAGCACTGTTCCGCGAGCATGTCGAAAAGTCGCAAGTCGCCGGAATCCTTGCCGAGTTTTCCACAGGCGCTGGATCTCTCCGAATCCGCCGCTTGGAGCGCGGCCAATTCCTCATCCCAGGATTCATTGATACGCACAACCACGCCCCGCAATGGACGCAGCGCGGTACAGGCGGCGGCAAGATGCTGCTGGACTGGCTTGATGAAATTACCTTCCCCCACGAAGCCAGGTTCAAGGACCCGGAGTACGCAAGGAAGGCCTACTCATCCTGCGTTGACGGCATCTTGAAACAAGGCACTACTACCGCCTCTTACTATGGAAGCATTCACGGCGAAGCCACCAAGATTCTCGCCGACATTTGCTTCGAAAAGGGCCAGAGGGCGTTGGTTGGGAAGTGCAACATGGACCAGAACTCGCCCGACTTTTACCAGGAGGCCGGCGCTAAGGATTCTCTGGATGCCACCGAGGACTTTATCTCCCACGTGCGAAAGCTCGATCCAGCCGGCCGGTCCGTGAAGCCCATCATCACCCCTCGCTTCGCCATCAACTGCGATAGGGATCTCCTCACGGGCCTAGGAAAGATCGCAGCAGCCAATCCGGATCTGCCCATTCAAACGCACTTTGACGAGGCGGAAGATGCGATTCAGTTCACCCGGGAGCTGTTTCACGAGTTTAGCAACGAGGCGGACTTGTATGAGAAGTTTGGTTTGCTGAACGAGAGATCCATCCTCGCGCACTGCATCTACCTTGAAGACTACGAATTGCAGCGCATTCAGGAGTTGAAGTGCGGCGTCGCTCACTGTCCGGTTTCCAACACGATGATCGGCGGCTTCCTAGCAGCGCCGATTCGCGAGTACCTGCGCCGGGGCATCAAGGTTGGACTGGGTACAGACAGTGGCGGTGGCTCCTCATCGTCTATAATCGATGTCATAAGGCAAGCGTCAGTCGTTTCGAGAGCGCGCGAGGTGGCCACAGACGGAGCGGACCCCGCACTGACACTCAACGAGCTGTTCTATCTTGCGACTATGGGCGGCGCGCAGGTGTGCGGGCTCGCAGACAAGGTGGGCAGCTTCGAGGAGGGTAAGGAATTTGACGCGCTGGAGATTCACACATTGGGGCCCGATGCGGGGATTATCGCAGACGTAGAGGAGGATGATTCGGCCGAATACATCCTAGAGAAGTTCTTGATGACGGGCGACGACCGTAATATCAAGAAGGTTTATGTGCGGGGCCGGACGGTAAAGTCATAAGAGTTATGTAATTAGGTATGTACTACAGTCAAACAGGTTACGACTTCCGACCGTTAAGAGGGTTGACTGTTTGCGACGCAAGATAAAGTCTTCTTGGATGCGCCGACTTTCCGTACTCGCATGCACAGCGAATCCGGGGAAACATAAGCTACGATCGACAGGGGATTTCGGCAGCGGTACGGTAGCGCGCGCGCGGATCTCAATATAAGGCGGCGTTTCATCGTCGCATCCTTTATCTAACCTGTTTGCGGCCTTCGGACATCACGCTCGCCGGGGGGGGCTTCTTCACTCCACTTCCCGCTCCCTCACCAGACACACCCTCGTTTCTTTCTTTACTTTGACGAGCGCGCGTCATGGCGCCCCCGGCCTTATCACCCTTGTCGCCGCGCGACATCTCCTCCACCTTTGGCAATGTCAAAGACAGTCTGAGCTCCTGGGACAAGTGCATGTCCAAGACCTACTGCAAGTGCGTACCTGTCTCACTCTCTATCTCGCGCCTGCGCTGACTCTCTTTCCCTCGCAGATGGCCCGTTGTAGCAGTAATCATAGTAAGCGGCCTGATCGTCTTCTCGTTGCTTTGGTGCTTCGCCCGTTGCCTCTGCTGCGGCGCACAATGCTGTGCCTGTTGCCGCTGCTGCCAATGCGGCCGTCACCAGCGCGTGCACCGCCATGTCGACTCACCACCTCCGCAACCCATCAACTCTCAATACCAACCACCGCCACCCATGTATGCTGGACCAGGGCCGGCCCCTGGATATGAAGCCCAGCAAAAGGGCGTGGCGCAGTTTGCTTCGTTCGAAGGAGCCACCAAGGACGGGAAATTTAACGAGGATGCGCTTCCAGCCATGCCGAGTTGGGACCAGGCCGTAAGCCGGAAGGTCGAGGTCGAGGTCGAAGAGACACCAGTCGGCCACGACTCGAGCGACTACGAGATGCAGAAGCTCGATCCTAAGGGAGGGCCAAACGGCACTCCTCCCCCGCCCAGCATGCGTGGCTCGCCTCAACAATCCGAAACCGGTTTCCCTCCCCAAAGCGGACCACCAGGACAACAGCCAACGACCGCTTTCGCCAATGGCGACCTGGCTACTCCGCAATCCTACCAGACGATGCACGAATACCACGCTGGCCAGGAAAACATGTACGGCAACAACCAACAAGGCTACGGAGGCTATGGAGGTTACGGGGCGCAAGCTCCGCCGCCGCAGAGCCAGCCCTACTTCCACTCCGAAGATCCCTACGGCCAGCACTACCAAGACGACCACAACGGCGCAGTAGGAGGCTACGGCGCGCCGAGCGTGAACGGCTATCCAGCGACGGGCTACGCGCCCTCGGGCTCGACCATGTTCGAGCCGCCCTCGATAGCCGGCGACCCGCACCAGCAGATGCACTCGCCCGCGCCCTACAACATGCCCATCTCGCACACCCCCGTCAACGACACCTACCAGCGCACCATGTCGCCGGCCAACAGCGCCTTCGCTCGCGCTCGCTCCCCGGCCAACGACCCTTATGCCCGCGCCCGCTCGCCCGCCATGCCCCAGCCCCAGCCCGTGGCGCCGTACCGGCCGTTCCAGCCGTTCCAGCCGTCCGTGTCCCCGCTCCACGACCCCGTCGCTCGCACCATGTCGCCCGCGCGCACAATGTCGCCGGCCCAGCCGCAGTCGCAGTGGCAGACGCAGTACGCGACGGGGCAGGCGCCGCAGGGAGGCGGCCCCGGAAGATGGTGAGAGGATGTGGGCAGCGGCGGGCTCTGAGCGCTGAGCGCCGCGCCGCGGATCCTTATAACCTTTGCTTTGTCATGCATGCTCTTTTGTTGACCTTCTGAGATACCCGTCTGGCTGCGGCACGGTTCTGTTTTTTTCCTTTTCTTTTCTTTCGTTTTCTATAGATTGCGCGGTTCATGTTTCCGTATTCGCGCAGGTGCATAGCGACGGCGTTGTAGTAAGTCGAGAGGGGCTACGCAAATGAGTTATATTCCCCTCAACTATGACCGGCGCCGTAGTTCAAAAAGGTGGCAGATTTCGAACGTGGCGGGATAGAGTAGGCCAGAAGTGCTGGCACGGCTTGCGAGCAATAGTCCCGCTCCACGTCGACATGATGGATGCTCTAGCTAATAACTGGATGACGACGCAACGCTCACCTCCTACCTAGCTAGTGTGAAAAGCCCGACCTGAACGCGTGTTGTCCCAAATTAGTACAGAGGAAGCTAATTTTTGCAGTAATAATATCGAAGCGAATATTGATTAGAAGTAGCACGTCTTTGGACGTGCAAGCTCATCTCCCATACGTTTAAAATAGTCTTACTGCACGGACGAGGTTGACTGGTTCCAGAATGAGCCCATAACTTTGTGGGACAAAGGAATCCTGTCAGCTTGCACCTCATGCAGGCACCAGACTACCTATCCGAGGTCATGCCGTTGCTATGCTTTTACCCACCCTTTCCCCTATGCAATAGACTATTCATACACATAGTCGTGCATCTTCAAGAAACTCTGCAGAATCAGATATCTTTTTTGAAGCCCTCTTAAACGTCCGGACGCCAAGCTGTGATGGAAGTAGAAATCATGCCTTGGCGGCGGGTTTGGTGGGATCCTGCCGACTAAGAACCCACATAAAAACAAACTGCACAACGTAGGAGTAAATGAAGAGGAACTGAGTGCGGCGGTTGCGCTGGGATCGTGCAACTGTGTAGCTGGCACCGCTGCTCGTGTTCGGGGAGGTATCGGGGAGTAGCACATATTTCAGAGAGCGAAGCTAAAACAATCAGTTACCTGGTCCGCTAGATCTCTGCGAGATTCATATACTTACCAAAAAGAAGGCGTTCGCAAAGTAGGTGTATAAGAAAATGGACCACCCAATCAGGCCTCCAGTGCCTGCGCCTTTGTTGAAGATCTCCGCCAAGACGAGCGTGACTATGATACCAACAAACTTGTAGCCGGAATAGGCCACCAGGTCCAGCAGTTGCGACTCGTTGCTGATGCTCAAGAGGTAGCACCCAAGTTTTAGGCCCATAATCTCAAATATGACGACGGCGAATGCCGTGGTGGCAGTAAGACCTAGCAATTCCGGGTGGAAGGCGCCGCGGAGGCCGGCAAGGAGGGTCGAAAGAAGAATATAGGTGACAAAAGCCATGACTAAGTCGCGCATTAGCGGCAGCCAGATACGATGCGTCCAGAGGCGCGTACCTGGGATATACATGTCCGGGCTGTTGATATCCTCTCTCGGGGGCATGAAGAAGCCATCCTGGTTCTGGCGCACCCACGGCCTGTGGCGCCAGGGAAAGAGGACGATATAGAGCTTGTTGACGACGTACGAGTTGCTGACGTTGAAGTAGCGCTTCAAGGCGCTGACGTTGACGTAGTTTTTGAACTGGCGGGGGTTAGCATTGGACAGGCAGCAGGCGGGCGAGCTATAGGAGCACTGACGTTCTGCTCCATGTACTGATGGCCAGCATCCATGGCGGTCTTGCCGAGCTGGAAGCCCATCTGGGCGGTGGGGTCGCTCATGAAGCCGCCAAAGGCGGGATGGACGCCCTGGGGGTATCCATAGCTGTTGGCAGCCTGGGCCTGGGCCTGCGGAGGAACCGGCGGAGGAGGCGAGCGGAGCTGGGGAACGGTGCTGACGTGCTGGGGCACGGGGTGGTGCAATGGCGGGGAATTGGCGTAGGTCGGCCGTTGCATGGCGACGTGTGGAGATGGTGGGAAGCGGGAGAGCTGGTGGTTGTGGGGGTGGGAGGTGAAGATGTGTTGATCTGGCTTCCGTCTTGCGCTGCGTCCTTACGAAATGCGTCCGTGCGCACGTCACCGCCGCCGTCGACTTTCCATTGCGGCGTCGCGCGCCCGCTATCTATCTCTCTCCCTTCTCCGTCGCCTTCCCCCTCGCATCCCTCCTGCCACTCTCCACATCATGCTCGACTCGTTCGAAATCATCTCCACCTCGGGCGTCGTGCTCTGGTCCAGGAAATATGCCCCAGTCGCAAAGGCCACCATCGACACCTTCTTGCGCGAACTCATCGAAGGTGTCATCACCGAAGACCTCTCAGCTGCCCAGAAGCCGACCTACAAGGCCAAGGATGGCTTGACTCTGAAATGGACTACCGCCAAGGACTTTGGTCTCATCTTTGTAGTATGCGCCGCCATCCGAACCGCGCCGATGCGGCGTGACTGACGCTCTTCGCAGGCCGTCTACCAATCGCTGGTCCACCTTACTTGGATAGACAAATTGCTCGACAACGTCCGCGCCCTCTTCACCGAGCTCTACAAGGACCAGCTCAAGAAGTCCAATACTAGCGTCATCAATTGCCCCTTTGATGGCTACTTTGACAGACAAGTTCAAGAGCTAGAACCGCATGGCGACAGTACTGCCACGCGCAGCCTCGAGCCTGCGCCTACCGCCGACTACACTCCCCCTTCAAGCTCGGGGACTGATCGTGCCGATCTGGCTCCACCTATGCCCGGCTTGCGCAAGCGTATGTTTGACTGCTGTCACGCCATTCTGTTCTCAGTGACGCCTGCTAACTTTCTACCAGCAACGCCAAAACCGCTTTATAGCAACAACACTTCGACCGACGTTACACCCATTCCCACACCCGATACGTCGCGTCCTGCTTCTCCGGCGGTTAGCCATCTTTTGACCGCAAAGGGCGGACCCGGAGGACGCCAATCACGCCGTGCCAGGAAGAAGGGCGCGGCAGTGTCTGGACCCATGTCATCCGGAGACGAGTCTCCCGCCAGAAAGTCGACTCCCTCCAAGGGAGCAGCAAAGAAAGGGAGAAAATGGGATGAGTTTGGTGCCGCAGATGAAGAGGATGACTCTATTTTGGATTACTCCGCGGCATCACTTGAGGGAGATGCACCGACCGCAACCACAGTGGAATCCGTTGATTCCGAGACATGGGGCAAGAGGACGGGCAAGGGCGAATTTGTGCTGAAAGATTTGGATGAAGAGATGGACTCGATTTTGGCTTCCGCGAACGCTAAAAAGGATACCGACGAAGCCGCACCTGGAGGTATAGTCGGGTCGAGCCTCGGCGCCATCGGTGGTCTTTTCAGGAACGTTGTTGGCGGCAAGACGCTTACAAAGGAGGATCTGGCTAAGCCGCTGAAAGGCATGGAAGATCACCTTCTGAGGAAGAATGTGGCCCGCGAGGCTGCGGTCCGCCTCTGCGAGAGCGTTGAACAGGATCTAGTCGGTGTCAAGACCGGCAGCTTTACTAGTAAGTTTCCTATGCCCGCTCTAGGTCTGAGTTATCCATTGTGTTGCTTACACTCACTCAGGTGTTGAAACTACGCTGCGCAATGCCATGGAATCCGCTCTCCGCAAGATTCTGACTCCAACAACCTCTCTGGATCTTCTCCGTTCCATTCAAAATGTTACCAACCCCTCTTCGCTCTCTATGCAGAGTTCCCGCCCCTACGTCATTTCCATTGTCGGTGTCAACGGCGTGGGCAAGTCCACCAACCTCTCCAAAATTGGCTTCTTCCTTCTCCAGAACAAGTTCCGCATCCTCGTGGTGGCGGCTGATACTTTCCGTTCGGGTGCTGTCGAGCAACTCCGAGTTCACGTTCGCAACTTGCAGGAGCTTAGTGCTCGTGAAGGTGGCTCTGTTGATCTTTACGAGCGCGGTTACGGCAAGGACGCTGCGAACATTGCTCAAGATGCTGTCAAGCATGCCGCTGTCTCTGGTTATGACGTCGTTCTTATCGACACAGCCGGCCGTCGCCACAACGACCAGCGTCTCATGTCGTCGCTGGAAAAGTTTGGAAAGCTCGCCAATCCCGACAAGATCCTCATGGTGGGCGAGGCGCTCGTTGGCACAGACTCGGTGGCGCAGGCACGCAACTTCAATGCGAGCTTTGGCGCTGGTCGCAAGTTGGATGGTTTCATCATCTCCAAGTGCGACACTGTTGGGGACATGGTTGGAACGCTGGTAAGCATGGTCCATGCGACCGGCATCCCCGTCCTCTTCTTGGGCACGGGGCAGCACTACAGTGACCTGAGGACGCTGAATGTCAGCTGGGCTACCAAGCTTTTGATGAGCTAGGTGAGGGGTCTCTTGTCGATGCCCGCACAGTTCCAAAGCTCTGTGAGCTATGTTTTGACGCTTCCCCGCTTAAATGATAGATATGTCCATAGCGCCTACGTTGGTTAATGTACGATTGTTATCATATAAATGTCCTTGACCATTAATGTCTTTGTGAGACTATCAAACAACGGCAATTGTTAGGCATGCGCGTGAGTATTGTTCAGTGTATCCGGTCAGACTGGTGTGACGGAGAATAGAAGGGGTATGCCAGCTATACCTCCACGTAAATGTTTGATACGAACATAGCTGAGATCTATAACTCTCATCCACACCGCCAACCAGCCACCTGATTCGCAGCGCACATTCGTATTCGCGCGTAGTCACAGCATCCCACTTTGTGGCCCCCAACACAGGCTCGTGTTCATGAGAGGAAGCGTTCGTGCATACGACAAAGGCTGTCTTATCCATGCACTCCTAGCGCGAGAAAGAGTGGTGATAGGATAGCCATTCCCCAGACTTGACAACGCCCAAGCCGTATTTACCTAATTACCTACCGTTTCTTTTCTCTGGGCGATCGTGGCGGTGGATCTTGGGGGCCATCGCGATTCGCGATGCGGCGGCCTGGCGGCCTGACGGGTAAGAGCGGAATGATCGTGCTTATTGCTCCATCCCGCTTCCGCCCGAAAGTAAGGCGGCAAGGCTGCGCGACTTTCGCCACGCCTTTGCCCCCGAGCTAAGGCCGTCCAATCGTAGGTGAGACGTTACTGTACTCCAGAGTATCAACGGTAAACACCAGAGTTCATTCACTCATATTTCCAAAACGCGCATCCACTGCCCAGTTTGAATCAATACTTTCACGAGTGAAAGCTTCATGTATTCACGCTAAACTATAAACTATCTACTTACTCCGCCTGCTCCTAGTCTTTAGCGGACCTTGGTCCGCGTCCGAGTAAGCTCGGGGACAGGCAACCGGAACTCCACCACCTTATTCCGTTAATCCCCAAGCCCGCCAAAGCAGATGGATATATCCAGGGGTACCGCCCAAATCAATCCGCAAGTAAAAGCAAAAGAAAACGCAAAAGGAAAAAAGTGAACAAAGGGAAGAACAAAGGCTTGAAGGTTCAATGTACATTGTCGTTTTCTTCCACACAAGCCGGAGAGGCCCGCGCCTGATCAAGGGAGTACGACAGGTCTTGTCCGCATTATGAAGTAATCAAAAGATTCCTTCCCACATTCCAGGGCCCGATCTTCTCCGGAGTGCTTGAGCGACTTCGCTGGCGCAGCAGGCCCGCTTCCGACCAAAGTCCTTCTCGACAGGGTGTCGTACTTCAGTCATCGCATAATACGGGGACTGCGACACGTTCGCGTTCAATCCCGAGGTTGGAATCATTCCAGTGGGCGTATGAACCATAAATGAGGAGGCAAGGCTGCAGTCCGGCAGCACGGAGGAAGACGAGACTTGCTCGGGTTTACAGTTGTCCAACAAGAGCAAAGTCTCAGCAGCAGCATTGTCACGGAGGAGGCTCCGGACATTATGCTGCAAAGATAAGTCTACAGAGGACCTACAGCGCTTGCGGCCTTTAGGAATATCGTCGATCTTAATGGTGCGCGGCGACACTTCATCGCTTTGGTTGGCCAAGCATCTAGCTTCAGAGGCGTCATTGATCCGGAAGCTTCCAAGTCCTGGGGACGGTATCGAATCCAACGTGGTATACTCCGTCATCTCCGCATCCTTCTGCTGCGCTAAGTAAGGCAGTTTCGCATTGCGGCAGGTCGCCAACCTCGCCAGTTTGGCGTTGTTCGGCGCCCAAGCTGCAGACGAAACAGAAGATATCGAAGAAGCGCGCGAAGAACGCGAGGAGTTGTCAGATATCATTGATTCCGGGGAAGAAGACGAAGAAGTAGAAGACATCGCAAGCGATGGTCGTCTGCCCGACATTTGATAGGCTTCCAGGCCATTAAACCTCGGAGTAGGTGTCCACTGGTCCAGGTTGCAGCGAGTCGACATTGCGCTTTGGTGCTGTGCCATAGCAGCGCACATAGAAGGACGCCTCGGCCCAGCCGTCATTACACTCGCTGCAGGAGTGCTTGTGACGTTGGTCTGAGGGGTCATCTGTGGCGTAGGCAAAGGTCCTAGGCGCGCCAACAATGGTGCAGGGGGCGCATTGTCAACCGTTGGTTCCAGGAAGAAAGGTGTAGCAATCGCGCGGGGAATTTGTACATTTGTGCCCCAAGCATCGCGCGCAGAAGAAGCAACGGCGGATGCGGGAGGGGTCAATTGCCTCGGAATGCACAAATGGGCGGAATTCTTCCGGATTATGTCGACAGTATCCAACTCGGGTGTAAGGAGGGGAATGAGAGTCTTCCATTCATCCAACCCATAGCGCAGTTGAGGCGCACCCGGAGACGGGGGCGGCTGCGACGAAGGAGCTGCGCGGAGGACAATAGCCTGCCACCGTTCAAAGACTGGATCCGTGATGTGCAATTTCCAGTTGACGGCCTTCAGGAAAGCCATCTCGTTGGTGTTGATCTCGCAAACTTTCAACCCGGAAATTTTGCTCCATGCACGAGCAGAGTAGTTCCTGTCTTGAAGATATTTCGACGCAAGAATAAGCGCCGCAAGGAACATACGTCTGCCGCACTGCAAAGCACGAAGTGACTGATCTTCGGGCTGTTCCATAGTGAAGTCGTACTTCGGAACATGGGCCTTGATGAGAATCAGGTAGTAAAGCGCAACCTGAAGGGTCGAATAGCTGGTCCTAGACCGGCGGAGCGTTTCCTGGATGAACGTCCTGAGAGGGAGTACGCCTCGTCCAGACGTCGCCTCGGTGCGACACGTCGGTACCGACAAGGGCCAGATGATTTCCACCATTTGAGTGGCAGAGTCTTAGAGGACAGGTTCTCAGTAAAGTATTGAAATACTACGGAGTAGAGTGCTTACCAACGAGGCTGTCAACGAACTTGACAGTGCGCTCACTTTGCCGCACAAGGGCAGGTGGGGCGCGCCGGTTGACAGTGACCGAGCATCGACGAGAGTTTTGGCGGAGCTCCGGGGGCACAGGTACGTCCACGGTCCTCAGGGGCGGAAGGGAGGTTTGGCTCTGGCACCAACTTGGAAGTTGAGGAGGGACACTCCCATTTTGCGGAAACGCTTCGCTCACAGCCGGGCATCCTTCAGCTTGACGGCAGTCCCAAGCGCGCGGCAGTGAGCTCGTTGTTGAAGATAGAGAGGCTTGAGAGGAGGCAGTATCCACGGAGAAGACCGAAGAAGATGATGATGAAGCGGAAGACGAGAGAGATGAGGTGTAGGGATGTGAGGCATCTTGACTCAAGAAAGGAAAGTTGCAACCCATGATGTAAATGAAGAACGCCTGGGTATCCTGACCAAGATTGATAGGAAATTGAAAGGAGTGGGAGGGAAGTCCGCTTTTGTTGCGATTACTTTTCCTTCAGAAACCTGACAGGTTCGAACGCTTTTGCGTGGCCGTGGGGTGACCAGAGAGTAACCGGTGAGACAAACCAAGGGACACCCGTCCGTCGCGTGATTGTGTGGTCGACGGATTTGCTCGAGTGCTTCTGCCTTCCGGATCAGGAAATGCAGAACAGAGGCGCGGGTGGTTTTTTTCGAGTTGACAGTTGACCGTGCAGCGTCGGAACTGAGCTAAAAGGCGGTAGCGATGCTTGGCCGACTTTTCTGCTCGAGTGCTTCAGCTGGTGAAGAAAGTTCTCCAGTCACCGTCAGCTACAGAGATCACCTAAACAAGATCTTGCCCGAGACAGTTCCGCAAGGAGCTTCGAGTATGGATCAGCCGTACGGGGCTTTTGCCGTCGCAGAGCTGAACAGAAGTCGAAGGATTGCGGTGTCTAGCAGGAGGCCTCGATGACGAAGAAGGCCTTGTTAACAGATCCGATGGTGATATCTGAGCGACTGATGACTGGAGCTTTGTGGGACGCGTGGTACATTGTGACTAGGTCGGGTTTGTGTTGGAGACGCGTTAGATGGTGACTGATGGCACCATGAGCCTTTACGGGTCTTCTGATGAGCGGTTGAGTGGAGAGGTGTGCGGAATGCGCGTCAAGTTGATTCGAGCCGAGGTGATGATGGTCGAGCGCGCAAGTGAGGTAGAGCGGAGTCGAGCGGGACAGGCGGTCGCGATCGAGTTAACGAGACGAGAGCCTGGTGTAAGAGGCGAAGGATATGGGTGAGATTCAGAAGAAGACGGGAGGCTGCGGGAGTAAAGTAGTAGGTAGGAGAGGGATGAGTCTTTGGCGGAGGCGATTAGACGGCGGTCGGGTCGGGTGGGTGTAGGTCGAGTAGGCAGCTACGGTGTAGGCCTCGGAACCGATTTCGCAGCGTCGGAAGACGTTGTTAGACGGTCCAGGGCGAGGCGAGGAATTTAGAAATCATGGTGGTTGCTTTGTATTGAGTGTAGGTGGCGGAGGGTGCTTTGAGAGATATAGAAGACACCGACTCATAGTCTGGGTACGTACTTGCCTCCCTTCAAAAAGCGATCGGGCCGCAAATTGGCCATAGCGCGCGCGCGGCATAGCAATCTGGAGACATCGCCAGCCGTCAAAGCCGTCTCCGCCTTGCCCGGTCCTGTTCTCCAGCTTCCTTCTCTCTGACTATGAATCTCTCCTGTATCTTTGTTTCATTTCCCGCCCTTTCTCGCCCTGCCGCCAACCGCCGCCTATGGCCACATTGTTTCGCCCCGTCCACCGCTCTTCACGACGGCCCAATCATGGCTCAGCCCTTGGGTTGCCGGGCTCACCAATTCCTTACTGTGCAATTAGCCACCTTTTGACTCACGCCGCGCGCGGAATAGCCAAGGCCACTCAAAGTCCCCAAAACCCAACGCTTGGGGCTTAGCCAGCTGACTCACCGTAGGCAGCTGGGCTCTTCTGCCTACGAGCTTTCGCCACTGCGCGCCCCCCTGGCCCCCGCCTAGACGTCATGCCACGAGGTCTGGTCACGCGTTTGCCTCGTCAAGTCTTTGCCAGCCAGCCACGTTGCCGGGAGATTGATCAACGACAACCCCACACAACGACAATGTCGTCGAGACTCGCCTGTGCGGGCAAGGGCGTGCGCCTGGCCGACTGTATCCCCCGCGGCGCTTGGGATTCCCATATGCACGTCGTGGACGCCAGGTACAAGCTTTCCTCCACTGCCCTCTACACCCCCACCCCCCACACCCTGGACCAGGCCTTGCAATTCGAGTCCCTCTTCGGCATCAAGAACATTGTCCTCGTTCAACCATCCATCTATGGCAACGACAACTCGTGCACCTTGGACGCCCTCGCCGCTGTCGGCCCTCGCCACGGCCGAGCTGTCGTCGCCATAGACCCCAACGCTACTCGCCCAGAAACACTAAAACAATGGCACGACATGGGAGTCCGAGGAGTAAGACTCAATTTGAAATCCGTCGGCAGAACTCCCTCGCGCACCGAACTCTTTGCAGAGCTCATGGCTCATGCCGACATGATCCGGCCGCTTGGTTGGGTCTTACAGGTGTATCTGTCCTTGGATGCCGTTCAAGACATCGAGCATCTGATGCCAAAATTGGATGTCAAGCTCTGTATCGACCATTTCGGCCATCCTAGCTTACCACAAAACATCGCAACTCGCCGGTCTCTAGATCCTTATACGTTACCTGGGTTTGAATCATTAATCAGGCTCCTCAAAGGGGGCCGTACGTGGGTCAAATGCTCTGCCGCGTATCGTATCGAAAAGGAGCCTGAAATGCCTTCTGTTGAGATCATCGCTCGAGAACTGTTGCGTGTAGCCAGTAAACGGGTCGTCTTTGCAACGGACTGGCCCCACACCAGGTTTGAACATACAGACGTAAGGTCATTTGTAGAGGCCTGTTTGAGGTGGTGTGAGAACAATCCAGACATGCGGGAGCGCCTTTTTAGGAGAAATGCCGAGGAGTTGTGGGACACTGTACAAAGTTGATCTACGCCTGATGAGCTAGTTTAACGTCCGTCACCATGAAGCGAGATTCACCGTGAAGGAAGATGGTGATTCTTGTACAGAGTAGAAGAGACCCAGCTAAGATGTGTAAAGTCTGTGTGCTCTAAGATCTATGCACCCATACTCAGGACTCGGGTTGGGAGCTAGGCAAGGAGTACTCTGTAGGGACTGCTTGTATCGTCTCCTGTCTCGCTAGACGGTGGATCACAGTTCGCGATGACGGACGTTACTACAGCCATTGCTATAGCCCGAGACACTGTGGCACCATCTTGCGTAGTAAGGCTTTTCACGGTTACGTGCTTGTCATTGCACGCGTGGGAAAGACGACCTCGTTGGTGTCGTCTACTTTCTAGAAGGTCTGTATTCACTTATGCCTGAGTGGCACATCGGATCGACAACTTTTACTGCATCTAACTTTTCAGACAATAGTCTCTCGCGCAATAACAAGAGCAACGATTGAAAGAAAGCCGAGGACTGCAATTTCTGACTACCATGGCATCAGGTAAACTAGAGAATCCGTCGAGTTGCTGGTAAACTCGAGATCGAGCCCACTTGCAATAGAAGCATATGGGAAGCTTGCCTTGATGGGCTAGCAGTAAAGCAATGTAAAGGTAAGTCCCGAGGTGAAAGAAGCTAAATGCCGCCCACATGCGCCAGAAAAGAGGTTAAAGTACAAATTCAAGGAATGGTTAACGCCAGTGCATTCTTTGGGAACCGAGAAACCTCTCCAGAGGTACGCGCAAGAGCAATCCAGTGATGCCATAGTGTCCTGGAATGGAATCATGAGGAACCTTACTCCCTGTTCAAGAGGAACGGACATTCCGTGGGTGTGATCTTGCTCATTTCAAGATGAGTCAATCGAGTTTCTTCGCTGTCCGGAGAGGTGGCAATGGCCTCTCCAGGTTGGGGCTCAACAGCCTTCTCTATATCTTTTGGGTGAGGATGGACGTGATTAACAGGGCATCCGGAAAAGCTCTGCGGAGATGCGGCTGCCCCGTCTGTCCGCTCATGCTCAACAGCGCCAGTGACCCCAGATGAATATATCGACTTGCGCGGCGTGACGGGCTCTGAGGCAGGGGGGGTAACGTTGGTCCAGCTTTCGGCCTCCGAACTACCAATTGAGAGGGCTCTCTCACCTTCGAGTGCATCATGGAACTTTTCGGGTTCACAGCCAACAGGTGGTAGAACGTCAAACGAGCTCATTGTTGCCTCCGCTTCATGCCACATCTCGGCTTCTTGGTCATGCTCCTCTGGTTCATGTACATGGCCCGGCAATGGCTTTGATTTATGTGTCCCTGTCTCGGCCGTTTTGTGTCCTTTATCATCGTCAGGTTCCACGTTCGTGTCCAATCCCTGCTCATCAGTCTGTCGTCCTGAGTGCGAGGGGAGCCAGTTTCCATCGGCATCCTGAACGTCATTGGGCTTGTGGGAGGCAGGAGGAAGCGCTTCCGCCTGCGCATCAGAGATCGACTGCTGTCCAACAGGCTCGAGAGCTGTACCGTCTAGCTGAGAAAGCTTTACCGGCTTTGCGTCAAGTGCTTGGTATGGCACTGGATGTAGAGTGTCGGCTGGTTCGCTTTGTTCGGGGCCCAAGTTCGGGGTCGCAGTGGATGCAGACTCGCTTGCACTCGTGCTTGTGCTCTTTCGGGCAACAGGTTCTTTGTTGACAACACCTTGAGGAGCAATCTGCCGGAACATATCCATTGGATCGAACCAGGTCTCAACCCTCTGCAACCTGATTTTATCGTCAACCGTCGCTACCGTCACGCCTTGAATGTCGATTGGACCACCGTGAGCCTTGGCTGTCACCTTCTCGTCTTTGCTAAAACTTGTTTAGCAGGTAAACCTTTTTCGCTATCCCGAGACAAACTTACTCGTTGAATCCGACGTAGTCGTTCTTCATGGTACCCCAATGGCGCCACCTGAACGACACATGAGGTGGACCACTGTAGACCTCAAGAACTTCCCATGCAAAGGATGGCATCATTCTCTTGAACGTTTTATGACTGGAAGCAAAGTCCGAGTTCACTGGGCTGTAATACTCGTTGGGTGCAATGATAGCGTTGTAGGTCCCGACCTTGAGCATGTGCTCAGCAGTCTGGGGAGGTCCGCCGTTGATGGCGAATGAGTAATTGGGAGCATCGATGGACCTCCAATCCTCCAAGTGCGGTTTGAAAGATGCTTCAACTTCCCAGTTCTTGACAAGGTTTTCCACGAGTTGTGGCAGGCTGCCAGCTTCGTGGTTCATTTTCTTGGCTAACGTCTCCGGTCAGTCTCGACATCAACAACGGGGAGCGGGTAGGACTTCATGTCCCGGGAGCTATGTGAAAGACAAGATGACAAACGACAACCATTGAGGAACAACAAAACAGCTTAGCATGCCAACGACCGCTAGCAAAGTCAAAGTGAAGTGTGAAGACATCAATCCCACGCGAGACTTGAACATGCAAAATGCACACCCGGAATTGCAGGCCACAAACCCACAGGAGACACGAGGTTCCCACGTGGTCAGGCAAGAGACGGCTTCAGGAAGGGATGGGCAGGGTTGCTTGCATGAGTGATGAGCAAAGGGAATACATACTCTCTGCAAAGACCTTACGCGTCTTTGTGTAATCAGGCGCGCGGCCATATCTCCACTTCACCTCCTTGTCCCTCAGGACGGCATCAGGATCGGTGAGGTAGTCTGGCAGAGCGGCAGGCTGGGCTGGAGCAGGAGTGCCGGTGTCAGCGGAGGCCATTGTGTGTTGAGAGGTTGGGTAAGGAAGGGAAGATTGAAGAGGGAGAGAGGGGCGGGGGAGAAAGAGAGAGCAGATAAATAAGAATGGCGCGAATTGGGCGTGCGGATTAGGAAGAGGAAAGTGCATCTCCGGGGGTTGCTGCCGGCGTCACACATTCCTCTTTCCCCGTTGCACCAGCATCACACCAAGCGTGCCTTGTATCACTTTGCCGCCGTCATAGCCTGGCCAGTTCCCTTCTCCATCCACGTTTTCAGACAGCGTTTCCCCGGTCAATTTACATTCGGCCCCACAGCCAGACCTCTTACGTCTGCAACAGTAAGGGCTAGGCAACCTTGGCCTGCATCGTCTCTGCTCCAGTCCGTCGCACACGCCGCTGGGAAATCTCTCCAGATGCACCAGAGCTCTGAGCGAAAGCTCTCCTATGGACCGCCCTTTCTTGAACCCGTCAAACTGGTCTCAGCCTCATCGCCATTCTCACGTGGTAACCCGTCAAATTGGTAGCTTGGTGGATCTCCGTCTTACTGCAGCCTGCCGACGGCTTTTTTAATGGGCCCCTGTCTGTCGTCGCGTGCGGCGTGCATGCATGCGAGATTCTAGGTATACACCTCCTAGTCCTCGCAACCTAACCTATCTTGCTGAAAAATGACCTATCGGTCAACACTTGTGCGTCAAGAATGCACCCGTCTAGAAAGTGTCTGGCTCGTAAGCATGATCACTTTTTATTAAAAACGCGCGACTAGAAATGCATGCAAATAACGTCCGTCACCGTGAAGCGAAATGGTGATACTTCGGAATGGAAGAAGAGACCTAGTTCAGATATGTAGAGGCTTTGTACGGAGAAGAAGAGCCTTAGGTAGGATATGTAGAGCCTGTATGCTCTAAGACCTTTTCACCTATGCCCGGAACTCGGGCTGGGAGTTAGATAAGAAGTACTCTGTGGGGGCTGCTTGTATCATCCTGTCTCGCTAGATGGTGGATCTCGATTCGCGGTGACGAACATTAAACCCTACCTATGCTCTTCCGCTTTGCAATGTAGCCGTCGTATGATATATTCATAACTAAGCTCTTGAACTAAGAAACCTGCGTGACTTTTACCAATCAATATCTCTTTAATTAATACATCTGGCCTTATCTCTGCATATTTTTCTCCTCGAGTAACATCCACTGGATTCTTGGGTCGTGCAGTGACTTGTGAAGCATTCCCGGTCTTGCAATTTGGCTTTCTTAGTTGATAATAAGGTTGCGAGCAGTAACACGTACACCATTACGTGGTCACCAGTTAGTTAAGGTTGTTGTACGTCTGTCCTACTTACGGCAGCAATGTAGGTAGCAATGCTTACACTTTGTGATCTCTGATATTGAAGAGTATAAGATTCGCACATGGCATCCTGTCACAAGCTACGGCCGTGCAACTCCGAGCAGTCCTTAGTTGCATGAGTCAGGTCATGTAAAGCCGACCGTGGCTCGAGCACAACCAAGCAGCAGGGCGCTTGGTCGCAGGTTTATATGACGTCATAGGTAACTCTTCCTCTACTCTACCTAACAACTGCTCTCGCTACTCTTCCGCATTTGCAGATCACGGTTTCGCTCTGTCATTTAGCTCTTCGCTATGGGTATACGAGACACACGAATTAGTTGGTCAATCTTGCGAGCCCTGTTCAACGATAACGACCACGATAATCGCGGGCTGCTCGCCCGCATTCTCTCCTTCTTCGCCTTGTTCCAGCTGGTTCTCGCGCGCTTCTGTGGCACTGCCTTCAAGCGCTTGCGTAAGGATGCTTGGGGTCTCGATGAGGACGAATATAGAGAAAGCTTTAGGATGGCCGATAAGAGGGGCAAGCTGAATTCAGTTGGTGACTTGGGCTACAGTGGCTCGGTATGTTGCACACATACAATTGCTAGGTCGTAGACTAACTCTTCAGACTTTCTTTACAACTCCCAACTCAAAATTTCTCATCAAATCTCTTCCACGACACTTTGAGCACACCTTCTTTACCGACGATCTGTTTGGCCCATACGTTACTTACATGGAAGACCACGTATCAAGCCTTCTTGTTCGCATCACAGACTTCCTCGAGGCTCTCGGCCCAACACTTGGCAGTGCAATAGGCACAGCACCTGCGCACCATGTTGTAATGGAGAACATACTTTATGGCAAGGACGTCGATCTCCAGAAAGACAAATGGGAAACCTACGACCTGAAGCCTGCGAGTTACTTCTATCCTGAGAGGGATGTTGCGGGCGGAATGCTTGCTCCAGAAAGTGTCAAAGAGAGGCTTGTGGACAAGTTTCCCGACAAAATTAGGATCACCTGCGAGATGCGCGATGAGTTGCTCTCTCTCTTGAATGATGATACAGCGCTCTTGAGCTCTGCGAATGCGGTTGATTACTCTCTATTTCTTATACGCTACCCAGCTACCCCAAGCCGGAAAACGTCCTCTCTCAGATCTCGCACAAGCAGTTGGCGGACTGGGGTGACTTCCAGCGACGGCCAGTGGATATACAGAGCTGTTGTGCTGGATTTCTTCTGGGCCAAGCACAAGATGCAGCCAAAGGTTATGACGAGTTTGATAAAGCTTTTCAATGTCTTTTTTAAGAAGGGGCCTATGAGTATAACAACAAATCCTGAGGAGTACAGGATGCGGTTCCTTGAAATGGTTAAAGGATATATCGAGGTTCCATGACATGATTAATGCCTTTACCTGGTTTCTTACTACTAAGAGGGATAGATAGTATATTCATAGAGTAATATTATACCTTTAAGAATATTAGGCCCTAGGCAATTAAATAACCTTTCTACTATAAATCTTTATATACCCTAGGTTAATAATATCCCTACGGCTATTTACTAAGATATATATATATATATGTTTTTAAGTATTTTCTAAGATATATATATTATTTCTAAGATACATATATACGTATCTCTTAAAGCTTTTCACTATATATATATAAAGTAATTTATTATAAAAAATATATATCTCTTAGAAGAATTTTTTTTTGAAAAAAAATACGGCTATTTACTAAGATATACATTTTTTTCGTAATATTTCTAAGATATATAAATATGTATATCTTAGAGTTTTACGCTATATACATAGTATTATATTACTAAATATATGTATTTTAGAAATTAAATTCGAAAATGTGTATATCTTAGAAATATATATTAAAAAATCATGTATCTTAGAAATATTTTTTAGAAAATATATTCTTAATAAATCGAATATATTCTTTTTTTTTTAAAAAAAAAAAAAAAGTAAATATACTCTTAAAAAAGCGAAATATACTTTTAATAAATTCTAAAAAAAATTTATTAAATAAATTCTTAAAAAAGATAACTAAATAGAATACCTAAACGCCTAAAAGTAGAACTATATAAAATTAATCTCTTCTTCTTCTTCTTCCTACGACTACGACCTAAATATAAGCTAGAAAAGCGTTATAACTTAGAAATTAAGCTAATTCCCTATAGCCGAATTTTTAGAGAAACCTTAAAACTCTTCTAAATTTTCTAAAGAATTCGAATTTTCTTTAGCTATTTTAGAAGAACCTAAATTTTATCTCCTTATTCTCCTAAAATTCGATCTTCTAAGATTAATTCTATACTAATTAAAAGTTTCCTAGCGTTACTTTTTAGCTAGGCGATTATAGCGACTAGCTATTATTTCTTTTATAGG